GATTCTCGCTTCGGGTGCGAGAGGTCCCGGGTTCAATTCCCGGACGAGCCCTCCACCGTAACACCTTGACAGCCGCAAGGTGAAAAGTTGTGACTGTCAGCAACGTATTTGTTAGCCGTAAAGGACTTGCTCCTTCAGACTCTGACCGCACTCTCTGCAAGTGGTCCATCTCAGTGTCGTTGCAGTCACCTCCATCATCACACCTACGTGATTGGAAACAAAAGGAACTTGTTTGGCGAACCTCTACGTGGATGGGATCAGAAAGGGTTTACTTTCCTCTGCCTGTAGTCTTCTTTCTAAGTGTTTCTATCGAAGAACAATCAATCCCAAAATCTGATTTTAATTTGGGTTTCAAACCTGGATGAGCCCCCAACAAAAGCGGCTCATTGGTCTAGGGGTATGAAAGAGAAGGCGATCCAGAAAATGGTGTAGCAACACAGGCGGTAGATAGAGAACGAGATCCAGAAGTTGGCTTGACACAGGGGGAATACAGAGAGGGAGGTCCAGAAGACGGGCCAGTGGTACAGGCGTGAGGCAGAGAACGAGGGTCTGGTTTGGGTTGAAAAGCTAGATGAGCCGTCCACATTGACAAACTTGCAGGTCTGTTTCTAATGATGAGTCAGCCGTGATCGGATCAGGCACTTGGGCAGTTTTCCGTGACTCGTTGGTCTAGGGGTATGATTCTCGCTTAGGGTGCGAGAGGTCCCGGGTTCAAATCCCGGACGAGCCCTCGTCAAGGGCAGCTTGTCAGCCTCAAGACTCAATGTGCGGACTGTCAGCAAGATCCTGGCTCGAAAGGTCTAAGCTCAGGACCTGCTTAACCGAATCCCAAAGACTGCAATCGGGAGCTGACTGTTGGCATAGTCCCATTATGGCGGTGGGCAAAGCAGCTTTTGAGCTTGCTTTTCTTTTGCAGAAAGGTTGTTTCTATCAATGCAACAGTGATGAAATCAGACTCTTTCGCAGCACTCTGTGGCTCGTTGGTCTAGGGGTATGATTCTCGCTTTGGGTGCGAGAGGTCCCGGGTTCAAATCCCGGACGAGCCCACAGGTCTTAATAACGGGGCTCTCAGTAAGATCTTTGTTGATCGTCAACTGAAGCGCCTCCGTCTACGCCTAGAAATAAGCATGCGCTCTGCAGATGGCTTGTTGTTGGAGTTGTATTTGCAGTCCCCGTTCCTCCCTCCTTTGAAAAGCCATACGGCCAGCACACGTCACAAGCAGGAGAAAGTATCAGATGGTGTGGCTTTTGTCCTTGAACCGTGGCTAAAGTTGTTTTCGATACCAGAGGTCCCCTAGAATGAAGTGGCGGATGTCCTTACTGCTTCCCATAGCAGCGCTTTCTCTCGACAAAGCTCTTTCTACTTAGTCAGCGGTGTTGGACTCAGACTTCTTTTTTTTTACCCAGAAATTGGGCTTTTTGTGGCTCGTTGGTCTAGGGGTATGATTCTCGCTTCGGGTGCGAGAGGTCCCGGGTTCAATTCCCGGACGAGCCCTCCACCGTAACACCTTGACAGCCGCAAGGTGAAAAGTTGTGACTGTCAGCAACGTATTTGTTAGCCGTAAAGGACTTGCTCCTTCAGACTCTGACCGCACTCTCTGCAAGTGGTCCATCTCAGTGTCGTTGCAGTCACCTCCAACATCACACCTACGTGATTGGAAACAAAAGGAACTTGTTTGGCGAACCTCTACGTGGATGGGATCAGAAAGGGTTTACTTTCCTCTGCCTGTAGTCTTCTTTCTAAGTGTTTCTATCGAAGAACAATCAATCCCAAAATCTGATTTTAATTTGGGTTTCAAACCTGGATGAGCCCCCAACAAAAGCGGCTCATTGGTCTAGGGGTATGAAAGAGAAGGCGATCCAGAAAATGGTGTAGCAACACAGGCGGTAGATAGAGAACGAGATCCAGAAGTTGGCTTGACACAGGGGGAATACAGAGAGGGAGGTCCAGAAGACGGGCCAGTGGTACAGGCGTGAGGCAGAGAACGAGGGTCTGGTTTGGGTTGAAAAGCTAGATGAGCCGTCCACATTGACAAACTTGCAGGTCTGTTTCTAATGATGAGTCAGCCGTGATCGGATCAGGCACTTGGGCAGTTTTCCGTGACTCGTTGGTCTAGGGGTATGATTCTCGCTTAGGGTGCGAGAGGTCCCGGGTTCAAATCCCGGACGAGCCCTCGTCAAGGGCAGCTTGTCAGCCTCAAGACTCAATGTGCGGACTGTCAGCAAGATCCTGGCTCGAAAGGTCTAAGCTCAGGACCTGCTTAACCGAATCCCAAAGACTGCAATCGGGAGCTGACTGTTGGCATAGTCCCATTATGGCGGTGGGCAAAGCAGCTTTTGAGCTTGCTTTTCTTTTGCAGAAAGGTTGTTTCTATCAATGCAACAGTGATGAAATCAGACTCTTTCGCAGCACTCTGTGGCTCGTTGGTCTAGGGGTATGATTCTCGCTTTGGGTGCGAGAGGTCCCGGGTTCAAATCCCGGACGAGCCCACAGGTCTTAATAACGGGGCTCTCAGTAAGATCTTTGTTGATCGTCAACTGAAGCGCCTCCGTCTACGCCTAGAAATAAGCATGCGCTCTGCAGATGGCTTGTTGTTGGAGTTGTATTTGCAGTCCCCGTTCCTCCCTCCTTTGAAAAGCCATACGGCCAGCACACGTCACAAGCAGGAGAAAGTATCAGATGGTGTGGCTTTTGTCCTTGAACCGTGGCTAAAGTTGTTTTCGATACCAGAGGTCCCCTAGAATGAAGTGGCGGATGTCCTTACTGCTTCCCATAGCAGCGCTTTCTCTCGACAAAGCTCTTTCTACTTAGTCAGCGGTGTTGGACTCAGACTTCTTTTTTTTTACCCAGAAATTGGGCTTTTTGTGGCTCGTTGGTCTAGGGGGTATGATTCTCGCTTCGGGTGCGAGAGGTCCCGGGTTCAATTCCCGGACGAGCCCTCCACCGTAACACCTTGACAGCCGCAAGGTGAAAAGTTGTGACTGTCAGCAACGTATTTGTTAGCCGTAAAGGACTTGCTCCTTCACTCTCAGACTCTGACCGCACTCTCTGCAAGTGGTCCATCTCAGTGTCGTTGCAGTCACCTCCATCATCACACCTACGTGATTGGAAACAAAAGGAACTTGTTTGGCGAACCTCTACGTGGATGGGATCAGAAAGGGTTTACTTTCCTCTGCCTGTAGTCTTCTTTCTAAGTGTTTCTATCGAAGAACAATCAATCCCAAAATCTGATTTTAATTTGGGTTTCAAACCTGGATGAGCCCCCAACAAAAGCGGCTCATTGGTCTAGGGGTATGAAAGAGAAGGCGATCCAGAAAATGGTGTAGCAACACAGGCGGTAGATAGAGAACGAGATCCAGAAGTTGGCTTGACACAGGGGGAATACAGAGAGGGAGGTCCAGAAGACGGGCCAGTGGTACAGGCGTGAGGCAGAGAACGAGGGTCTGGTTTGGGTTGAAAAGCTAGATGAGCCGTCCACATTGACAAACTTGCAGGTCTGTTTCTAATGATGAGTCAGCCGTGATCGGATCAGGCACTTGGGCAGTTTTCCGTGGCTCGTTGGTCTAGGGGTATGATTCTCGCTTAGGGTGCGAGAGGTCCCGGGTTCAAATCCCGGACGAGCCCTCGTCAAGGGCAGCTTGTCAGCCTCAAGACTCAATGTGCGGACTGTCAGCAAGATCCTGGCTCGAAAGGTCTAAGCTCAGGACCTGCTTAACCGAATCCCAAAGACTGCAATCGGGAGCTGACTGTTGGCATAGTCCCATTATGGCGGTGGGCAAAGCAGCTTTTGAGCTTGCTTTTCTTTTGCAGAAAGGTTGTTTCTATCAATGCAACAGTGATGAAATCAGACTCTTTCGCAGCACTCTGTGGCTCGTTGGTCTAGGGGTATGATTCTCGCTTTGGGTGCGAGAGGTCCCGGGTTCAAATCCCGGACGAGCCCACAGGTCTTAATAACGGGGCTCTCAGTAAGATCTTTGTTTATCGTCAACTGAAGCGCCTCCGTCTACGCCTAGAAATAAGCATGCGCTCTGCAGATGGCTTGTTGTTGGAGTTGTATTTGCAGTCCCCGTTCCTCCCTCCTTTGAAAAGCCATACGGCCAGCACACGTCACAAGCAGGAGAAAGTATCAGATGGTGTGGCTTTTGTCCTTGAACCGTGGCTAAAGTTGTTTTCGATACCAGAGGTCCCCTAGAATGAAATGGCGGATGTCCTTACTGCTTCCCATAGCAGCGCTTTCTCTCGACAAAGCTCTTTCTACTTAGTCAGCGGTGTTGGACTCAGACTTCTTTTTTTTTTACCCAGAAAGTGGGCTTTTTGTGGCTCGTTGGTCTAGGGGTATGATTCTCGCTTCGGGTGCGAGAGGTCCCGGGTTCAATTCCCCGGACGAGCCCTCCACCGTAACACCTTGACAGCCGCAAGGTGAAAAGTTGTGACTGTCAGCAACGTATTTGTTAGCCGTAAAGGACTTGCTCCTTTCAGACTCTGACCGCACTCTCTGCAAGTGGTCCATCTCAGTGTCGTTGCAGTCACCTCCAACATCACACCTACGTGATTGGAAACAAAAGGAACTTGTTTGGCGAACCTCTACGTGGATGGGATCAGAAAGGGTTTACTTTCCTCTGCCTGTAGTCTTCTTTCTAAGTGTTTCTATCGAAGAACAATCAATCCCAAAATCTGATTTTAATTTGGGTTTCAAACCTGGATGAGCCCCCAACAAAAGCGGCTCATTGGTCTAGGGGTATGAAAGAGAAGGCGATCCAGAAAATGGTGTAGCAACACAGGCGGTAGATAGAGAACGAGATCCAGAAGTTGGCTTGACACAGGGGGAATACAGAGAGGGAGGTCCAGAAGACGGGCCAGTGGTACAGGCGTGAGGCAGAGAACGAGGGTCTGGTTTGGGTTGAAAAGCTAGATGAGCCGTCCACATTGACAAACTTGCAGGTCTGTTTCTAATGATGAGTCAGCCGTGATCGGATCAGGCACTTGGGCAGTTTTCCGTGACTCGTTGGTCTAGGGGGTATGATTCTCGCTTAGGGTGCGAGAGGTCCCGGGTTCAAATCCCGGACGAGCCCTCGTCAAGGGCAGCTTGTCAGCCTCAAGACTCAATGTGCGGACTGTCAGCAAGATCCTGGCTCGAAAGGTCTAAGCTCAGGACCTGCTTAACCGAATCCCAAAGACTGCAATCGGGAGCTGACTGTTGGCATAGTCCCATTATGGCGGTGGGCAAAGCAGCTTTTGAGCTTGCTTTTCTTTTGCAGAAAGGTTGTTTCTATCAATGCAACAGTGATGAAATCAGACTCTTTCGCAGCACTCTGTGGCTCGTTGGTCTAGGGGTATGATTCTCGCTTTGGGTGCGAGAGGTCCCGGGTTCAAATCCCGGACGAGCCCACAGGTCTTAATAACGGGGCTCTCAGTAAGATCTTTGTTGATCGTCAACTGAAGCGCCTCCGTCTACGCCTAGAAATAAGCATGCGCTCTGCAGATGGCTTGTTGTTGGAGTTGTATTTGCAGTCCCCGTTCCTCCCTCCTTTGAAAAGCCATACGGCCAGCACACGTCACAAGCAGGAGAAAGTATCAGATGGTGTGGCTTTTGTCCTTGAACCGTGGCTAAAGTTGTTTTCGATACCAGAGGTCCCCTAGAATGAAGTGGCGGATGTCCTTACTGCTTCCCATAGCAGCGCTTTCTCTCGACAAAGCTCTTTCTACTTAGTCAGCGGTGTTGGACTCAGACTTCTTTTTTTTTACCCAGAAATTGGGCTTTTTGTGGCTCGTTGGTCTAGGGGTATGATTCTCGCTTCGGGTGCGAGAGGTCCCGGGTTCAATTCCCGGACGAGCCCTCCACCGTAACACCTTGACAGCCGCAAGGTGAAAAGTTGTGACTGTCAGCAACGTATTTGTTAGCCGTAAAGGACTTGCTCCTTCACTCTCAGACTCTGACCGCACTCTCTGCAAGTGGTCCATCTCAGTGTCGTTGCAGTCACCTCCATCATCACACCTACGTGATTGGAAACAAAAGGAACTTGTTTGGCGAACCTCTACGTGGATGGGATCAGAAAGGGTTTACTTTCCTCTGCCTGTAGTCTTCTTTCTAAGTGTTTCTATCGAAGAACAATCAATCCCAAAATCTGATTTTAATTTGGGTTTCAAACCTGGATGAGCCCCCAACAAAAGCGGCTCATTGGTCTAGGGGTATGAAAGAGAAGGCGATCCAGAAAATGGTGTAGCAACACAGGCGGTAGATAGAGAACGAGATCCAGAAGTTGGCTTGACACAGGGGGAATACAGAGAGGGAGGTCCAGAAGACGGGCCAGTGGTACAGGCGTGAGGCAGAGAACGAGGGTCTGGTTTGGGTTGAAAAGCTAGATGAGCCGTCCACATTGACAAACTTGCAGGTCTGTTTCTAATGATGAGTCAGCCGTGATCGGATCAGGCACTTGGGCAGTTTTCCGTGGCTCGTTGGTCTAGGGGTATGATTCTCGCTTAGGGTGCGAGAGGTCCCGGGTTCAAATCCCGGACGAGCCCTCGTCAAGGGCAGCTTGTCAGCCTCAAGACTCAATGTGCGGACTGTCAGCAAGATCCTGGCTCGAAAGGTCTAAGCTCAGGACCTGCTTAACCGAATCCCAAAGACTGCAATCGGGAGCTGACTGTTGGCATAGTCCCATTATGGCGGTGGGCAAAGCAGCTTTTGAGCTTGCTTTTCTTTTGCAGAAAGGTTGTTTCTATCAATGCAACAGTGATGAAATCAGACTCTTTCGCAGCACTCTGTGGCTCGTTGGTCTAGGGGTATGATTCTCGCTTTGGGTGCGAGAGGTCCCGGGTTCAAATCCCGGACGAGCCCACAGGTCTTAATAACGGGGCTCTCAGTAAGATCTTTGTTGATCGTCAACTGAAGCGCCTCCGTCTACGCCTAGAAATAAGCATGCGCTCTGCAGATGGCTTGTTGTTGGAGTTGTATTTGCAGTCCCCGTTCCTCCCTCCTTTGAAAAGCCATACGGCCAGCACACGTCACAAGCAGGAGAAAGTATCAGATGGTGTGGCTTTTGTCCTTGAACCGTGGCTAAAGTTGTTTTCGATACCAGAGGTCCCCTAGAATGAAGTGGCGGATGTCCATACTGCTTCCCATAGCAGCGCTTTCTCTCGACAAAGCTCTTTCTACTTAGTCAGCGGTGTTGGACTCAGACTTCTTTTTTTTTACCCAGAAATTGGGCTTTTTGTGGCTCGTTGGTCTAGGGGTATGATTCTCGCTTCGGGTGCGAGAGGTCCCGGGTTCAATTCCCCGGACGAGCCCTCCACCGTAACACCTTGACAGCCGCAAGGTGAAAAGTTGTGACTGTCAGCAACGTATTTGTTAGCCGTAAAGGACTTGCTCCTTCACTCTCAGACTCTGACCGCACTCTCTGCAAGTGGTCCATCTCAGTGTCGTTGCAGTCACCTCCATCATCACACCTACGTGATTGGAAACAAAAGGAACTTGTTTGGCGAACCTCTACGTGGATGGGATCAGAAAGGGTTTACTTTCCTCTGCCTGTAGTCTTCTTTCTAAGTGTTTCTATCGAAGAACAATCAATCCCAAAATCTGATTTTAATTTGGGTTTCAAACCTGGATGAGCCCCCAACAAAAGCGGCTCATTGGTCTAGGGGTATGAAAGAGAAGGCGATCCAGAAAATGGTGTAGCAACACAGGCGGTAGATAGAGAACGAGATCCAGAAGTTGGCTTGACACAGGGGGAATACAGAGAGGGAGGTCCAGAAGACGGGCCAGTGGTACAGGCGTGAGGCAGAGAACGAGGGTCTGGTTTGGGTTGAAAAGCTAGATGAGCCGTCCACATTGACAAACTTGCAGGTCTGTTTCTAATGATGAGTCAGCCGTGATCGGATCAGGCACTTGGGCAGTTTTCCGTGGCTCGTTGGTCTAGGGGTATGATTCTCGCTTAGGGTGCGAGAGGTCCCGGGTTCAAATCCCGGACGAGCCCTCGTCAAGGGCAGCTTGTCAGCCTCAAGACTCAATGTGCGGACTGTCAGCAAGATCCTGGCTCGAAAGGTCTAAGCTCAGGACCTGCTTAACCGAATCCCAAAGACTGCAATCGGGAGCTGACTGTTGGCATAGTCCCATTATGGCGGTGGGCAAAGCAGCTTTTGAGCTTGCTTTTCTTTTGCAGAAAGGTTGTTTCTATCAATGCAACAGTGATGAAATCAGACTCTTTCGCAGCACTCTGTGGCTCGTTGGTCTAGGGGTATGATTCTCGCTTTGGGTGCGAGAGGTCCCGGGTTCAAATCCCGGACGAGCCCACAGGTCTTAATAACGGGGCTCTCAGTAAGATCTTTGTTGATCGTCAACTGAAGCGCCTCCGTCTACGCCTAGAAATAAGAATGCGCTCTGCAGATGGCTTGTTGTTGGAGTTGTATTTGCAGTCCCCGTTCCTCCCTCCTTTGAAAAGCCATACGGCCAGCACACGTCACAAGCAGGAGAAAGTATCAGATGGTGTGGCTTTTGTCCTTGAACCGTGGCTAAAGTTGTTTTCGATACCAGAGGTCCCCTAGAATGAAGTGGCGGATGTCCTTACTGCTTCCCATAGCAGCGCTTTCTCTCGACAAAGCTCTTTCTACTTAGTCAGCGGTGTTGGACTCAGACTTCTTTTTTTTTACCCAGAAATTGGGCTTTTTGTGGCTCGTTGGTCTAGGGGTATGATTCTCGCTTCGGGTGCGAGAGGTCCCGGGTTCAATTCCCGGACGAGCCCTCCACCGTAACACCTTGACAGCCGCAAGGTGAAAAGTTGTGACTGTCAGCAACGTATTTGTTAGCCGTAAAGGACTTGCTCCTTCACTCTCAGACTCTGACCGCACTCTCTGCAAGTGGTCCATCTCAGTGTCGTTGCAGTCACCTCCATCATCACACCTACGTGATTGGAAACAAAAGGAACTTGTTTGGCGAACCTCTACGTGGATGGGATCAGAAAGGGTTTACTTTCCTCTGCCTGTAGTCTTCTTTCTAAGTGTTTCTATCGAAGAACAATCAATCCCAAAATCTGATTTTAATTTGGGTTTCAAACCTGGATGAGCCCCCAACAAAAGCGGCTCATTGGTCTAGGGGTATGAAAGAGAAGGCGATCCAGAAAATGGTGTAGCAACACAGGCGGTAGATAGAGAACGAGATCCAGAAGTTGGCTTGACACAGGGGGAATACAGAGAGGGAGGTCCAGAAGACGGGCCAGTGGTACAGGCGTGAGGCAGAGAACGAGGGTCTGGTTTGGGTTGAAAAGCTAGATGAGCCGTCCACATTGACAAACTTGCAGGTCTGTTTCTAATGATGAGTCAGCCGTGATCGGATCAGGCACTTGGGCAGTTTTCCGTGGCTCGTTGGTCTAGGGGGTATGATTCTCGCTTAGGGTGCGAGAGGTCCCGGGTTCAAATCCCGGACGAGCCCTCGTCAAGGGCAGCTTGTCAGCCTCAAGACTCAATGTGCGGACTGTCAGCAAGATCCTGGCTCGAAAGGTCTAAGCTCAGGACCTGCTTAACCGAATCCCAAAGACTGCAATCGGGAGCTGACTGTTGGCATAGTCCCATTATGGCGGTGGGCAAAGCAGCTTTTGAGCTTGCTTTTCTTTTGCAGAAAGGTTGTTTCTATCAATGCAACAATGATGAAATCAGACTCTTTCGCAGCACTCTGTGGCTCGTTGGTCTAGGGGGTATGATTCTCGCTTTGGGTGCGAGAGGTCCCGGGTTCAAATCCCGGACGAGCCCACAGGTCTTAATAACGGGGCTCTCAGTAAGATCTTTGTTGATCGTCAACTGAAGCGCCTCCGTCTACGCCTAGAAATAAGCATGCGCTCTGCAGATGGCTTGTTGTTGGAGTTGTATTTGCAGTCCCCGTTCCTCCCTCCTTTGAAAAGCCATACGGCCAGCACACGTCACAAGCAGGAGAAAGTATCAGATGGTGTGGCTTTTGTCCTTGAACCGTGGCTAAAGTTGTTTTCGATACCAGAGGTCCCCTAGAATGAAATGGCGGATGTCCTTACTGCTTCCCATAGCAGCGCTTTCTCTCGACAAAGCTCTTTCTACTTAGTCAGCGGTGTTG